AAATCGCAACTCTACGGATCATTGTGGAACAATCAATTGAATGGAATTCATCACTCTACATCAACTTCACTGACTACGAAAAGGCATTTGATAGCGTGGACAGAACAACACTATGGAAACTTCTTCGACACTACGGCGTGCCTCAGAAGATAGTTAATATCATACGGAATTCTTATGATGGATTACACTGCAAAATCGTGCATGGAGGACAGTTGACAAAGTCGTTCAAAGTGAAGACCGGTGTTAGGCAAGGTTGCTTACTCTCACCCTTTCTCTTTCTCCTGGTGATCGACTGGATCATGAAGACGTCAACGTATGAAGGGCGACACGGGATACAATGGACATCTAAGATGCAGTTGGATGATCTAGACTTCGCAGACGATCTGGCCCTTCTATCTCAAACGCAACAACAGATGCAGGAGAAGACAAACAGTGTGGCAGCAGCCTCAGCAGCAATAGGTCTCAATATACACAAAGGGAAAAGCAGGATTCTCCGATACAACACAGAATGCACCAATCCAATCACACTTGATGGAGAAGATTTGGAAGATGTAATAACCTTTACATATTTGAGTAGCATCATTGATGAATATGGTGGATCTGATGCAGATGTGAAGGCGCGGATCGGTAAAGCAAGAGCAGCTTATTTACAGCTGAGGAACGTCTGGAACTCAAAGCAACTATCAACCAACACCAAGGTCAGGATTTTCAATACAAATGTCAAGACAGTTCTACTGTATGGGGCAGAAACCTAGAGAACTACAAAAGCCATCATCCAGAAAATACAGGTGTTTATTAACAATTGTCTACGCAAAATACTTCAGATCCATTGGCCGGACACTATTAGCAACAACGTACTGTGGGAGAGAACAAACCAGATCCCAGCGGAGGAAGAAATCAGGAAGAAGCGCTGGAAGTGGATAGGACACACATTGAGGAAAGCACCCAACTGCGTCACAAGACAAGCCCTCACATGGAATCCTGAAGGTCAAAGGAAAAGAGGAAGACCAAAGAACACATTACGCCGAGAAATGGAGATAGACATGAGAAAAATGAACAAGAATTGGATGGAACTAGAAAAGAAGGCCCAGGATAGAGTGGGTTGGAGAATGCTGATCGGCGGCCTATGCTCCATTAGGAGTAACAGGCGTAAGTAAGTAAGTAAGTAAGTAAGTATATTTATGATTGAACTACCTTAATTCATTTAAATAAAATAATTTCTTATTTCTATCAAATCAATGTGACAATAACTATCAGAATAGAAAAAACCTTCTATCTGCAATTCAGTAAACGATATATTTATATATTGTATTAATTTCTTATCGATCAATGTTACTCGGATATTAAACCTTTGGTAGTACATGAATCACGCAGATCTATACAAAATCCACAAAACCATTAGAATTTTTCGGTGTGTGTATACGCGCGTTTCTTCTTAACGAACATGTATTGATTTGTTTTTTTTAATAGATATTCACTATTGAAATATTCTTGTACATTATTTCACTTAATAAAACTGGAGGAGTTTAAGAAGGAAAAACAAGTAAAGTCAACTGGCTTAGTCTCATGAAATTGTATAAAATATATTTATATGAATATTTGTCAATATTAGAATGAATAGTTTGACAAAAATAGGGGATAAAGAAGTCATTATATGTGAAAATTATATTTGAAATTACATCAGCGATTGAAATTTAAAATAATTCCAACGTTTCGTCCAACAAACTTGTTTGGACTTCTTCAGGGTAATAATCAAAATATAGTTTTGTTAAATTTTTATTGAATACGAATTATTATTTACCATTCTGACTAAGTTATGTATCTATTTTAAATGTAATAATAATCTTTTCTATTTTATAAATGACTTGTGAGTTATAATAAACGCTGGGATATTTTAAAAAAAACTTTATAATTGTTAAAGAGGAAAAACCCATTTGTTAGATTTATAAATATGAGGTAACAAATTGAACACGGTATATAAGTACTTAAAAACATTCCTAGAATATTTATTTATTTTCTTAACTTAATGTACTCATTTTAATGAAACGAAACTATCTTGGAAACTTTATTGCTTACCCTGAAACTGGACGTATCGTTCCATACTGAGTAATAGTTTTAAAAAATAAAGTAGATGAAAGAAGTTTATATATATATATATATATCTCCTCATCTTAACATTATCTGACACAAACGAAACATTAGTAACCAGAGCTGTATTATCGTCATCTAAAGGTTAAAATTGACACAAGTTATGTATTGCTTGTACATACAATCTATAATAAGTTTACAAATTAGTGTTGATGGTCACTGACTTTGTAAATATACATATCCGATTGTCTATTTGTCTAGAGAATGAAAATCAACTAATAGACTGATTTTTAATTGAGATCATGAATCGACTGATGTTAAACCATCATTGAGAACGTGGAATCACCGGATGGCTGTTTCGTTCTGGCATGGGACTCTTCAACAGTGTGTATCCATGATCCCGCCGGCGGTAGAGACAGTTACCTACCTCAGGCAAAGACGGTCACTCAGTTTCGTGGATTGGTTGAGATTAGATAATAACACCGTTGGATACCGGCCCAGTGGTCTAGAGGTCACGCGTTCACGAGCGAGACAGAAGGTCCTCGGTTTAAGTCTCGCGTGCGGGATCGTGGATGCGCACTGTTGAGGTGCTCCGTACTAGGACGGGACGGCCGTCCATTGCTTCCAGGTTTCCCATGGTGGTCTAAAATCAATCGGTTCATGATCTCAATCAAAACTCCACAACCCAATACTGATAATAGATTAGTAACAGTATAATTCTTTAATGAAAATTTTACCAACAGATGAAAAAGCTACTGGTAAATAGTTGCTTATGATGCCAAAATAATTTATACGACACAAATTGAACATGGACTGTGTCGTTTTGCATCTAGATAGTCTTCTTTCTTACAAACATTTGAAAAACTCATTAGCATTAATTATATAAGTCAAATATTTTAAAATGGTATCTTCATTGACATTACTCAATGGGCGATGAAGTTGTTTATCAAAAGTCACTACAATTTAGTATCTTGAAATTGATTAGTGAACTAATGGTATGGTACAGTTTTAAGGTATCTTATAATCACATATCTTTATTAAATACATTAGATTAATGGTAGAACTACATAAAATCTCACTACAAATTAATGATCAGTATTGAAATGTCAGATGTAATGGTAAAATTCCTCTAAAAACATCCATAATTTTCTAAAATAATCAAACATGTATCTTCTTAGAAAATTAAACATTTTCCAAAATATATTCACATGCACAATAATTTATTTAAAAAATAGAGACTGAAGACAATCTAGATTGAAATTCCTTAGCTTGGTTATATCAATACAGAGTTATGAGTAAAATGCTTCTAAACTAGATTATACAGTAGTGGACGCTACTCACAAGGATGTTTGCAAGTATTATGTGGTAGGATGTGACGTTACTGAAGGAACGATAGCCAAACGGAGTGAAGAGTTTTGGTGCATCGAAAGCATGGAATCGGCATAGCACATGGACACCAGACGAGAAGACTGTTTAGATTGCAGAACACAGAGGAAGATGCACATGTGTTATATAAATACTTAATAACATTAAAAAACTTCGTTTGTTGTTATTTCATCTAGACATTATAAGATTTGGAAAATTATTGTTGTTAAATAGCTATAAGTCAAACCGACCTACCTTACTTATATTTCATTTTTGACTTGTAGAAAAATATTTATTAACTTTCCGAATGATTCGTAGTAGTAGACTCGTCAATTATCATTCGTCAAACGAGAGAGCACCACGTTAGGTGGAAGAAGGTATTTGACTAGACACTCTGGATTAGGTCTTGTACAAGCTGGTTTAATAAAGTGTACTAAAAACCTAGAGAAAACTAATGCTTCCTTTATAATTCAAACCAGTTTCAACCAGCCTCATAGTTAGGGATGCTGCTACTAAGTTATATGACTTATTCACAATATTTTGCCAAACATTCATATGGATACTACTATTCGATTCAGAAAACGTTAAAAAGCTTTTTCTTTAGTTTAAGCAGAATATATGCAGGAAGGAACGATAAGGTAATTATTTTTTCCCCGTACTTTTCATTTTAAAGAAATATATCAAACTATTTTAAAGTGATATAACTAGACAGATTAGCTAACAGCCCTATGAATTTATTAATTAACCCCTCAGTTAAAGAGTAATTTAGACTTTACTTATAAATCAGGTAGTGTTTTCACAGAATCGTAGCATCTGATAGCCATCTTATATTTACAACTCATTAAATACTCAAATAAAAAATCTTGCAAAAATAATTTCTAAATTAAATAAACTGTAAAAGCTATACTACTGAATAGGAATACTTAAATTTATGCATAAACTTCAATACTTCACTTATATGGCGTGATTAAGTGAACGTAATTTAAATTATATAATTACAAGAACAATAAGTATAGGTAAAAATGTATCTGTTTTTCTTATACCTGTGAACAAAAATCAATATGCAAAAGTAATTTTAAAATAAGAAACTATTTACAGACTTTTGAATAACTGAAATAACACTCAAACTAACAACATGAACGTTGATAATAAATTACATTTTGCAAATGCAATACATGGGTAAACAATTTGTTTAGTCGTTGAATACTCGAAAATATGTTCAGCACTTTTTCTTTGAGGCAGATCTCTTCTTTCTTTCTTTTTCGTTTTCTTCTCCCTTCATTTGAATTTACTGGTAATCTTTTTTAATAAGTTTGGTTGAAATCAATGAAGGATAGATATAACTTGAATTAGATGCAAAAGCAATTACTTAAGGTCCTATGCCATTAAGTTCATACTCAGATAAATCATTCTAAAAACTGTAATTTTTAAATAACTAAAGTATTGAAGGGGTAATAATAATGAATCTTATATATTTCAACGAAATCTAGAAATAAATGACTTATTTGAGTAGAAAATCAGTCTGATGTGAAATCTGAATAATCGATATGATTACATTATCATCATCATCATCATCATCATCATCATCATCATCATCATCATCATCATCATCATCATCATCATCATCATCATCATCATCATCATCATCATCATCATCATCATCATCATCATCATCATCATCATCATCATCATCATCATCATCATCATCATCATCATCATCATCATCATCATCATCATCATCATCATCATCATCATCATCATCATCATCATCATCATCATCATCATCATCATCATCATCATCATCATCATCATCATCATCATCATCATCATCATCATCATCATCATCATCATCATCATCATCATCATCATCATCATCATCATCATCATCATCATCATCATCATCATCATCATCATCATCATCATCATCATCATCATCATCATCATCATCATCATCATCATCATCATCATCATCATCATCATCATCATCATCATCATCATCATCATCATCATCATCATCATCATCATCATCATCATCATCATCATCATCATCATCTGATTTTCTTCTAGTGAGTAAAGCTTCTTATATTTAAACTCTAGATCAATCTACTAATTAAAAACACGTTGCTAATAATCACCATTCGTGACAAACTTAAAAATGTCTAACCTATCTCAGAAAAAAACAGTCAAACGGAAATACTTTTATTTTCAAAGTTGAGGAATATTTTGTAAGCACTGAAGGTTTATTTACTGATATTACTCAAGAGAATTAAGTTGATAAAATAACTTACATAGATTATTTATTATAGTCAATGATTGATATCACTTCTGATATTTTGTTTTGTTCGTTTTTTTTATTTATTTATTAGTTGACAGATTGCATCTGTGTTAGTAAATCTACCGTTTACCAACGAACCTAAGTTTGAAGCATCTAAAAATTATTTATATTTCATTGCACAATCTTCATTCATCAATTAAATACTTTCCTGAGCAAAGTCATGTATACATTTGTTTAAATGTATTTATGTCAACAAAGTTATGTCATGACCTCAGACAAAAAACGCAAATAAGATGGATATTCATACTGTACAATACTCCATTTCTTATATTTATGTCATATTATTTCTTGTATAAATAATTAACCTGACTTCTTGTATCGCAACGTGATTCAGTTTGTTTTATACTTATTTTTAAAAAGAGTCAGCTTATTTGTATGCCTTAATTGGTTAAATTCTATTTCGAAATAATGTATGAATATTGAAAATTTTATATAATTTTGTGGTCAAATTATGTAGTAGGATCAATTGTCTAATAGTTATTAACATAAACTGTGCCAATTTATTGTCATTTGTCCATTTCATAAACCGACAATAAGATGAAACACTGTTTATTTAGTATTGACAAATGACATATCATAGTTATAAGAATTCATTTGTACTTAGATCACATATTTTTTTTTCTATATACTAAATATGATCACATAGTGATTGTTAACTCTTATAACTAATATGAAATAAGTAAGCACTAATTTATGTTTATTTGGGAAATATATAAATTAAGAAATCCGCTCTCTTTATATGACCTTAATCATATGGCCTTGTTAACTATTTAAAAATAGAATAAATAACTGTGTTTTTTTAAAAATGTGAAATTCGGTGCCATAGTATAAATTAGTTACTCTAAGCAAATCAAAACCAAAAAAAATTAAACCTAATTATCTATACAAATGAAATTCACCATACTTTTTTTCATAACTTATAGTTACAGTTAATGTTTAGTCTGTTCATGTAAGAATATATACATATATACAAATATTAATAAACAATATGATAGAACTAAGCTATTCATTTTATAAACATTCATAAATTTCAGTTTACAAAATATATAATAGCAATATTTACTAAACTGAATAGTGAAATGAATAATCGAAAATATGATCCAATTTACTAAATAGATTTGTTTGTAAAATGATTTAAAGAAAAATAGAAATAATCATTTATACTTAATTTCATTTGATGTTGTCTTATTTGTATTGTCCCATTATTATTTAGGACTGTAATTGATCAGTCTCTTGTTGTCTTTTATGTATCCTGTGCGGATTATCTTGATATAGCTTTAAGTCACAAGATTTTTAAGCAAAGATAGATAGTGGCTAACAGTGGATGACAGGACACGCTTTTCGTTGATGTAAACATCAACTCTGGGATGCAGGTACATCCAGCCGACGAGTCCAAAATAGGATGAAACGCGCGTTCTGGATTCCATTGCTTAAAAAGTCATTTATACTGTTTTATTATAATTTAGTAAATAAGTTTTAAACATAGACATATTTGACTAGTTTATTGATAGTATAGTTTAAAGCTAATAACGTTGTATATATGATAAGTGACATTTACTTGATATTGTTTATTTGAATCTTCCCATTGATGATTATGACTGCAATTGATCAATCACTTAATGGTATATGTGTATACTGTGCGTATTGTCTCGATATTGCCTTAATTCACAAGTATAATAAATTACATTGTTGATATCATATTGAAAGATCATTAAAATTTATTGCCGAAATCATATTTAATATAAAAATCCAAATGTTACTTTTCTGAGATGAATATGAATGTGAAATTATTGTAGCTATACGACAATTTTTCAAATAGTTATATATTTTAGTTAAAACAGTTGTTGTGCATGATGACAGACATTTCTTTAATGCAATGAATAGATTTAGTTTATCATGTAAATAGATCATTCTATTCATATAAAAATATATCATGTAAACAACAATAGTAATCATTATGCCAGTAACTAACCGATTCTAAAGTTAAAAAAGGTTTACAGAATTAATATGCATTTTAAATGTTATTGTTCCAGTTTTACTCCTTCAATAAAAATCAACTGTAGCGCATGCCGAGCACGTGGCTTTAACTGACAGTTCAGACTATCACACGACATGATTACGCAATCACATGGGAAAATGTTTGACATACCATTCATTTATATGAATTGTATAACAATAGTATCATATACTGTTATTTCTAGTTCTTATAGTAAGAGCACAGTAATTTTGGAGCTTATTTACGATATAAGGGAAGAAATACGTAAGGAACCTTCCAAAATACTTATCACATGATTTTATTTAAACTCTCTCTTTGATTAAGTAGCTTACTGGTCTGGTGAAATTTACGTCAACAGGTTTTAGTAATCACATAATTTTTATTGCAAGCTCATCTAATTTTAGAATGTATTTCAGTATGTGGCGGTATGTTTGGTGGCCTGCCTATATATCTAGGCAACCTGTTTCTGCCATCTAGATATTCCAACAAATATCTATTTTTTGTTTGTTTTAATACATCATTATGTCTATTGATCACATAACTGATTCAGGTGCATTTATGAAACGTTTACAACCCCTCACTGTAGAAGTTACAAAAAAGTACAATCAAAGACATCATAGTGGCTGGCAATATGCATTGAAAAGAATTAACATTATTCAAATGTCAATTCCTAAACTTCTAACATGTAACTGGTGATCACTCAATATTTATCGCCCAGATCGATCAAGAAATAAAGAAAGGAAACTTGTTGAAATAATTTGTGCTGAGAATTCTATATTGTTAGTATAGGGGTTGTGGAGATTATTAAGTTTTTGATTGAGATCATGAACCGGTTGATGTTAGACCACCACTGGAAACCTGTAAGCACTGGACGGAAGTTTCGCCCTATTGTGGGACTCCTCAGCAGTGCACATCCACGATCCCGCTTGCGGGATTCCAACCCAGGGCCTTCATTCTCACGCGCGAACGCTTAACCTACTGGACCACTGAGCCGGCATCCAATGGTGATAGTGTTTAACATCAGTGATCTCAATGATCTCAATCAAATTCTATATTGTACCAAAAATATAATATTGAATAAAGCCTCTATTAATAATAATAATGATTCATTATCATGCAATTAATATTCAAGCTAAACACATAAATAGTCTTAATTGTTCAGATATGTTGGTTATTATTTTAAAAACTTATAGTTATAATAAGAACATATTTAAGTGTATTTCACTTTTCAGAATGTTTACAATGATTTACTTATTAAAACACAACTTTTTGTTTCAAACTATTCGAAGTGAATTTTGGTCATAATTTGTATTCACTTAGTGAACATTAACTTTCAGTGTCATCTTTTTCGATGGTTATTTAATTGATGTCATTCAGTACTGAGAAATGATTTCAAATTAGATATGTTTCCATGTCTGTTGTGTCCAACAAGATTTTATTCACTTATTCTAGATGTAAATGTATCACAACTTTAGTGAGTAACTACTTCCAAAATAACAATAAGTAGAAATAAACTGAACATTTTATTATTAAAAGTTGAATCAATCATGAACTGATATATTTTAGCAACATTATTGGTGTTAGATGGTTAGACATAATCTCTCAAAGACTCTGTACATAGATTCCATGTATTGGGTATTTATCTATAAGGTGTGTCTGAAATTTCAAGGTAATTAATGCCCTCTAGGGAATTCAAATTGATATTGATAAATCTTATGGATTATCTCTTCACAGAGTAGAAAATCTAGGTATAAGACTGGTTACCGGTAGTTTACAACCACCTAATTATTGTCATCTTGAGTTCTGCTCTTAGTACTCAATGGATACTAAGGACAAAAGAATATAATACAAATTAAACAGAGTCACTTTGTTCACTTGGTTATACTGAATTATAAATCTACAATAAAATAAAACGTAATACATTTAAATCTAAACGAAATGTCGACGAATAGCTTTCATAATAAATTTTCCTTGGATCAATTTTCTATAAAACAGTTTATCAGAACAGAGTTCGATGCTCTAAACATTGTGAATTATGTATTTGAATTCAAATGGTAAATAATATCAATAGTTCAGTTAACACCATATTAAATCATTGTATGATACAAAGATCTAATACAACGTCATTTGATATTAGTACATACACACACATATACAACCGGAGCAACAATTCTTATAGGTACAAGGAACGTCTAGACAATGTGGGAGACTGCGAGGACCAGACAAATAGCGGAGGGAATGAGTAGGTACAACTTGGCGGTACTGAGAATCATCAAAGCCCATTAGACACGCGTTGGTCAGAAACGATAGATTTGGAAGAGATGCTACTGTACTCTGGTCACGAAGAAGAAAATGCTCCACACATTCACGGAGTTAATCCGTTGCTGTCCAAAGAAGCACGAAATGCGCTTATAGGATGGGAATCTCATGAATCCAGGATCATCAAAGCATCATTCAAAACAAAGAAGAAGAAAATTACAATAAGTGTTACGCACCCACCGATGATAGCAATGAAGACGATAAAGATCATTTTTATGAGAAGTTGAAATCGATCACAGAGAAGTTTTCAGGAAATGACCCGGCAATCCTGATGAGAGATCTAAGTGGCAAAGTCGGAATGGACAACATCGGATATGCAGATATGATGAGATGACATTGACTGACTGGGATATTGGAACGAGAATGGTGAGAGATTTGTAAATTAATGTGCATTCAGTAAAATCGTTGTAGGTGGCACAATATTTCCACATAAATGCATA